CAATGCATTTAAAGACTAAAACACATGGACCCCTGAGGAAACTACTCAAGTCAATCAAAAGCTATTTTGTTCAGTGTATGTTTAATAGATAAATTGTAAATGGCAAATTGGCAAATGGAGTATAATGTGGAAAAATGTGGAGTTGTTCATTTTGGAAGGGAGAACAAAGGAACAGAGTGTTATGTAAATGGAGAAAAGCTGCAACACAAAGGGACTACGGGGTACTTGTGCATGAAACACGAGCCTAGCACACAGATGCAGCAGATAATCAGGAAAGCTAATGGAATGTTGGCCCTTATTTAAAGCAGTTGGCGTGTAAGAGTAGGGAAGTCTTACTGCAACTGTACAAGGTGCTGGTGAGGCTGCATTTAGAGTACTGCGAACAGTTTTAGTCCCGATATGGAAGAAACTATATTATTTCATTGGAGGCAATTCAGAGAAGGTTCATGAGGATTACCGTGTAATGGTGGGATTCTTTTGTGAACAAAAGTTAAACAGGTTGGGACTCACTGGACTTTAGAAGAATGAGAAATGATCTCACTGATTCTCAAGGGGCTTGACAGGGTAAATGCTGAGAGGATGTTTCCCCTTTTGGGAGAGTCTAGGACCAGAGGAAATAGTCTCAGAATTGACGGTGCCAATTTAAGACTGAGATTACAAGGATGTCTTCTCTCAGAGGTTTGAGTGCGTTTGGAACTCCTTGCTACAGACAGCTAGCTGTGGGGGCAGAGTCCTTATGTATACTTAAGACTGAGATACATGGGTTATGGGGAAAGGGCAGGAAAGCAGACAGGAATCAAACCGGGTGCCTGGCACGATGAAATAACAGTGCTAGCTGCTATGCCACCATGCTATATTTCTTACAGTCTTATGATCTTAAATTGTACTGACCTAAGCTCACTCTTGTGGTGCAGCAATAATTTACCCCCCGCCCCTTAATCCATCGCTGACAGTAATGTCTTGCATCAGGTAAAAGATGTGTTACAAGTATACTGACAGGGATTGCTATCAGTGTTTCATGACAACCTGCAAGTTTCTTTCTTGTGCTAGATCAGAACAAAACTATCATAAGTGAAGGGTGTTTTTTTTACAGAGGTGATGTAATTCTTGCCTATTGAATGGGGAGCAATCAAGAACCTCATACTGCTTCTTTGTGAGAAGTCTGTTGCATTGTATGTTATGTGAGACACTTAACTGGACAGTGGTGGGATCAAGGAGGTAGAAAGGCCACCCATGAAAGCTGCTGGTCAGACAGTTACTTGACACCAGGGATACAGAGGCTGCTGAAGTTACTGCACCTTCTTGAAGGCTTAGAATCACCATGGACCCAGTGACAGGTGAGTGATGCCAAGCAGGGGCGTGGTAGGGGAGACTGGGTAATGGGATCACGGCCTCTACTTCCAGATACTGGAATTCTTGTCCAGGTACTGAGAATGAGACCCTCCCTAGAAGCTTTCAATGTTTCTGAATGGTGAGTTCCCTGTGCACTTCGGGTGAATGTTAGCAGTAGTGGGATTAGGCCCTTACATTAACTGCCCACACAAGGTCCTCTTTTGGCAGCAGGATGGGAAGGCTCACCCACAGGCCTTATTGCCATGGACTTAAAACATAGCAGTGACAGGAAGATGGTAGAATCCTCACCTGTCATTCTACTGCCTGATTAGAAGTCCTCCCCACTACTTCCCTCTGGTGGAGGGAATCAAATTCTGCCCCAAGTCTCTATTAGACATTGTTCTAAATCAAACTCAATTTCATCAACTCTTGGCCCTCTTCTTTGTGGTGCAACTATGGTAATATAGGTTACTTTTAGCAATAAATTATTCAAATATATCATAGAATTCACAGAATCCCTACAGTGTGGAAACAGGCTACTCGGCCCAACAAGTCCACACTGACCCTCCGAAGAGAATCCCACCCAGACCCATCACTGTAACCCTGCATTTCCCATTGCTAATACACCTAACCTATACATCCCTGGACACTATGGGCAATCCACCTAGCTTACACATCTTTGGACTGTGGGACGAAACCTCACAGACGCGGGGAGAATGTGCAAACTCCACACAGACAGTCGCCCGAGGTTGGAATCGAACCCGGGTCCCTGGTGCTGTGAGGCAGCAGTGCTAACATTGAACCACCATGCCAGTGCCGGTGGCAGCATGGTGGCTCAGTGGTTAGCACTGCTGCCTCACAGCGCCAGGGACCCGGGTTCGATTCCAACCTCGGGCGACTGTCTGTATGGAGTTAGCACATTCTTCCCGTGTCTGCATAGGTTTTGTTCGGGTGCTCTCGTTTCCTCCCCACAGTCCAAAGATGTGCAAACTAGGTGGATTGGCCATGCAAAATTGCCCAGAGTGTTCAGGGATGCGTAGATTAGGTGTGTTATGGGGGGATGGGTCTGGGTGGGATGCCCTGAGGGTCAGTGTGGACTTGTTGGGCCAAAGGGCCTGTTTCCACACTGTAGGGATTCTATGAAAAAAAATTTTTAAAAACTGTTACAGGTATCTTGCATTGGCACCACTCAGTACTCCGTGGCCTGCCAACACATTTATACCAACTAACAACATTCAAACTAATAACATTCAGTTTCCTAGTTAGTGGAATAGAACAGGTTCTTGAAACAATGTCCAATTTTACTGATATGAATTTTAAGTGATAGAATAACTGCAGAATCATGACTCAGAAGAAAAGCAAATACAAAAAGGGAAGTAAAGCAGAAAAACTTAAGACTTTTAAAGCTTTTCTTTCCAATAATTAAAATGAATAGTTTGCAATAGTAAATTACTCAAATGATGCTACACCAGATACCTCAAACACCTTATTACTGCATTAGATAAAACTCTGATTGAAAAGAACTGGCCAGGAGTACCAAATTCTGAGCTGCTGGAATTCCCTGGATCTGTTGGACCTCTTAAAAAAGACTGTGCTCAGGTTGGGGGCCAAGAACAGTGCTAGGGCTGTGGTTTCTATCCTGCTCCTGGACTGTATAGAAAAAAATTTACGAGGTTAGTTCCAGCGATCAGGGACTTCAATTACATGGGTGTATTAGTGAGGCGGTGTCGCTTTTATTAGCGAAGGTTGAGATGAATTTTGGTGCTGCAACAAATCTTCAGAGTTTTGACTGAATAGATAGAGAAACCGTTTGCTTCGATGGAGGGGCTGACAACCAAGAGGCACTGATCTCAAGGGATTGGCAAAAGAAAAAAAAAGTGACACAAAAAAAGCCCTCCTTTTAACATAGCAAATGGTTAGGATCTGGAATAAACTTCCTGAACATGCATCAAAAATAGCTCTCAGGATGGTTTTCAAAAATGAACTTACTGAATACCGAAGCGAAAAAACACTTAGTTACAGGGACCGGGCAGGGATTTGCAACTAGCTGAATTACTCTTGTGGATTTGATGGGTTCAATGTTCTGCTTTGCTGAAATTATTTTGCAACTTCTATGAAAAATATGAAGGAATGGAATGCAAAGGGCAGAAACCATGACTGGTTCAAAACAGGAAAAAAAAACCCAGGAAAATTGTGCATGTCGTGAAAAATTGTAATGAGCTGATCAAATGCAGCAGTTTCCAGGTGCTCCAAAGCTCAACAGTGTTAAGCCACCTACTTGAGACTATGCGCATAGTGGCAATATTGACATGTACCACTATGGTACAGAAAAAGCAACAAAGTAAGCAAGCAGTGTACAGCACAGGAACAGCAGCAGTAATCATGAAAGACCTGTGTAACAAAAGAATAACATTTTCATGCAAGAGTGAACAGAACATAACTTGTTCAAGCAGCACAGCAAGATCTTAGGAAACCAAGAATGTAATGTATCATGTAAGACGTAAAGTGATGACGTGAAACAAACAGTGAAAGCAAGCAACACAAGATGTGTTTGTCAAAGGTAACGCATGCTTGGGACCATCATTTGTAATTCTGAGTCAGACTGAAGAGGAAAAGAAGAGTGGGAGCAAAGCATTTAACAGGAAAGAACTGAAGGACATGGAGAAGTGGAAAATGAGTGACACGAGAAAGGGAAAAATACAGCTAGTGCCACGAGTAGGCAAGGAACAGAAATGGGGCTGAATGGTGAGGGTAACTGCATGCATCATGGGGGAGGCTTGGCAAGGACACAGTAGTTCGTATCAGGAGACAGGAAAGAGGAAGAAAACAAGTATCATGTTGGAGAAAGGGACTCCATGCATTGAGAGAGACCAAAAACAAGTGACATATGTACAGGAACAACATGAGGATTTAGAAGGTGTCCATTGGTTTGAGGACACAGAGAGAGAGCGAGGAGAGGGAGAGAGAGAAGGGAAGGGACAAATATAGATAAAGGAGAAAAGGAGGAGAATGCAAGTGGTTAGAGTTAAGTCAGTTCAAGAATGCACAAATGTTTTGAATTCTAAGATGGATCTATTGATAAAGACAAAATAAATTAAAAATATCAGAAGTCTTAATAACAAATTACTCCATATCCTTAAATATAAAAGCATAGGGGAAAAAGTTTTTCAAACCAGAATTTATAACCTTTCAAATTTTATAAATATCTAGACAGTAGGCTTAAAAAGCAATTTGATAACAAGATCAATGGCGTCATTAATTAAAGGAAAATTCTCAGGTTCAATAAGGATGTGCCAGGGATAATAGGTGATGAATTAAAATTCAATTGATAAGGCTTTTGCAATACAGTGCAATGTGTGAACTTTCTTTCAGGGGTGGAGGAGTAAACAAAGACGGAGGGATGATAGCTGCTGTACTACTTGGTCAACAGATGAAAGTGAATTAGCATTTTCAATGTTTACGAACGATGGACAAACATATTGTGCAGCAGAAACACAAGGAAAAAGCATCCTAATGCTGATTATCCAAATTCACATTCTAGGATACCCATCAACGGCTATTAGAAGTAAAACTTATTTTAGACAGCACTGTGAGATAGCAATTCAGAATGCTCTACACCCAGTTACCTCAATTTGTGGCCTCTAATTCAATTGGAACACCAAATATAGTAGAATTGTCTGAATACTGCTTTATTTCTCCAACATGTTTAAATAAGCAGGAGCACTGCACCTTGACAAAGATAAACTTGCACTTTATTCACAAATGGAATGACTCCTTAAAAAAATGGAATGTCAATTATGCTTTTCTAGTTGTTTAAATTTCATGCTGGTCAAAACAGACACATATGGATCACTAAACTAACCACAGAATTAAAATGACTTTAAAAATCTTGTTCCTTTCCAATTTCATAATTGTTTTCAGTCAACGTCCTTGTTTCATTGTCTAGTTTCACTACGACTGACATGTTGTCAGAATTTGGTCTCTATATCCACTCACCAAACACAACACTATTGCTATCACTATTCTTTCTTGATGTGAAGGCACACTGTACCTATTAAGAGAACATCAAGTTAAACAGCAGAAATTACAGGCAAGATCATTTACTAGTGAGGTTTATGTTGCACACATTAGTAGTGTACTCAGCTGTAACACTAGGATTGCCAGCATAGATTAAAGTTTTCTTACCATTAGGTTTAAAAACATCTCAACCGTGCCAATGATGCTGTGCTTAGAACACTGAACTAAACATTTCTTTTGAGTTAACTGACAGTACTAGTACAAAACCTGCTTCCAGTAGATAGTCTGGAAAATAATGGTACCAGGACTGTAGCTTTAATTAAAGTGAATCACTTTACCGTAGCACCCATTTGGACTAGTCAGCCATCATCAGCCCCTTTATGCAGATATGGCTAATACTGTGGAACGTTGAATGCATATAAAACACCTAACCTTTAAAATATAGCATAAACAGAATCTTATGACAGTTGTAAAAACATGAAAAATGTGACTAAGGCAAAAATATTACTTGCTAGTTTAAGTATGTAACATTTAGATGCTCCAGTGTACCAAACAATAAGTTATGGTATTGATGTCACATTAATTAGCAAATAGAAAACTACAAGCATGATCAAAGTAAAATCACTTCACAATTAATAGTTTTACCTCTAATTGCAACAGTGACATCCTTCAATGCCTCTTAACACATACATTCCAGTTGTGCATAATGAAAGCAGAGTTTGGTGTCCAGTTTTCAATTGTTGTACATACTAGATACATTATCAAATCTACAAACATAAGAATTGCTCTCGGCAACTAGAAAACCCCTTCTCCTTAGGCGGTTACGATGAAGTGCAATTGTTTAATGACATTAAATGTTTTCGTTAGGCTCTCCTTACTACGACCGTGTTGGGGTGAGCTTTTTCGGTGTATTGGGTCTTTTGTACTGCCACAGGTAGCCATGGATGATAATTGCGTCCACACAGGCAGATAATGATTTGGCAGGAATGCGACTAAACTGCTTTCGGTCAGAGTTGTACTTGTAGAGTCCCTCAATCATTTTCTTTCCTATGTTTTTAGGCCCTATTCCTGCCAATTTAGTAATTTCTTCAGTTTCTGGACTGTAGGTATAGAGTGAACGGAATTGGCAACCAGCATCGCGGAAAAGGATCAAAAAGTTATTGGCTTCGGAATTCTCCATTTCCTAAAAATATACAAAACATAACTGTTATAATTTTGTCATGTCTAACCAATTGAAAGAATATATTAAGATACAATGGAAACATTTGCCTGAACAGTCACAGAACTCCAACAATCCACACAAGATGGATATAGTCCATAGGTCGAGCTGGTTGACTGCTGCCAGCAGTACAGTTACTTGCTAATGAACCCGTTCAGGGGTGTTATTACACACTTCTGGAGCAGATGGGGCTTGAACCTAGGCCTCCTGATTCAGAAGTAGGCACTACCACTGCACCACAAGAGCCCTCCAGCCAGCATTGACAACACTGCTACAACTCAACATAGCTGCGATGTCTCTTGTCAGTATAACAGTGAACACCATTGGTGCACCGATGAAAAACAGATCTTCAATCCAGGTATTTGGTCATGGCCAGATGCATGTACCAGAGAAAGGAATCAGTGCCTTAATGTGTGTGTGTATATAAACAACATTGTAAAAAATGTAAGCAATTGTAATGAACAATAGTGAAATTAGTGAATGTAGTCTATACTTGATAAGTCGTTTTCTCTTAAAAGCTGGAGCGTCTGACAGCATAAAAAGCAAATTAACTCAAAGGCTGTGTGGGGGGTGGTTGTGCTTTTGCTATTTTTAAAATTAAAGTGAACAAATTATTACAATTACAACAGGGCTATATGTAAAAAGATCTGATTTAATAAAAAGTTTGCCATTAAAAAAAAGTATATACAATGTTTCCTCTCAGCTGCAAAACTGTGTAGTCCACTCTACCATCTCTTTTAAGTTACTGTGTGCGCAACACAATTTGAAAGGCACTGTCGACTTCAAGAAGTCACCCATACACTCTAAAACAAAAATCATCAAGAGGGAACGATGAGCATATAATTTACTACCCATTCGTCGTACACTTAATCCTGCAGAAACCAGTACATGAATGAAGATTTTAAATTTATGACTGGTGAGAGCAGACAGCTCAGTTTTTGAGATTACTGCATTTAGTTACATTGTTGTAGTAGCTACATTGGTTTCTGAAACCAATCATTAGTCCTAACAGCACAATAGATGTTTCCAGGAATCCACATCTTACCGCGAGTATTTTATTCTTCTGATTCTCATTGACTTTTCCAGCTAAACAGCAGTGCGAGATTGCATTCTGAATTATATGCTTGTTAGATTTTGCGCTTGGTTCCTTGTATAACTTTGGTCCTGCAAATGTTTAAATTATTAATAATTATATGCTTGCTTCAAATAAACCATTTTTATCTACTTGCATCAGTTGATGAACATTTTACTGCATGAGGTAAAGAAGAAGCATTACATCAGCCCAATACTCACTTTAATTATCCAATGACTCCATACAATTCATATTTACAAAATTATAAATTACAAAAGAGATAGTAGAGATACGAGATGTTAATAAATTTGAGTGTCTTACAAGTTCCTGTATGAGGTTAAACTGGTTCAATCCAAGGACAAGCAAAATCTTTTCCCAATCTGCAGGCACAGAATCTTTCCAAAATTCAGGGGGTGAACTAGTTGCATGGCAAAGGTGGGTCACTGGTGAGTCCAAAGTTCATCTGTCAGCACTTCTCGCCAGTTCTGATTCAATTCACTGTTATGTAGAGCAGTGTTTTAACACTACACCAGAGAAAACATTTCTCTGTCATCCCATTTTTCAGCTCTCACTGGAGCATTTCTATTAGGGAAGGTTAATACATCCCCTTTAGGATGCATAATTCTAATGAATGTTTGGGCCCTCAGAAGTTTTAGACACTCACCAGAAGGCTGTCAGTTACAAAAGTACAGCAATTGGATTGTTGGTGCAAACTGCAAATATAAGTGAACTGACTTCTTTCCAAGCAGAAAAAGTCAAATATTTGCCTTGGGCCTTACAATAAGTTAAAATTTCATTCTGCAACTTGTTACAAAGTTGAGTTGATCTTGATTAATGAAAATGGCATCATATTATGATGCAAAGTGACTGACTTATGGACTCAGCTAAGCAATAAATTCTCAGGCTTGTCCTTGCACATTGATGTACACACATACCTGGCAAGAGGGTCTTCGATTCTAACAGCCTCCATGGAGACCAGAAAATCAAGCAATGAAATTACAGAAAAAATGTGTTTGGCATCGTATTCCAGAACCTGGTAGTAGTCCTGGTTTAAAGGTTGCCTACTCTGCAATTCCAACAGAACATAAAAGCACTTCAAATAAAAAAAGGCTCGAGTATATTTTGATCAGGGAACACACACAGTAGCCCACAATAAGCATGTGGAGTCATAGGTCAAAAAACTAAAATGAAAATAAGTTGTCTAAAAAAAGCGAATGAAGGCTGTAGGAGTAAATGGTAGTTATTCACATTTGATTTTGTTTGTTGACAGGATATTGGTATTGCTGGCTCAACCAGCATTTCAGCTAATTGCCTTAAGAGGGGACAGCGATCTGCCTTCTTGACCCACTGCAACCACATGGTGTAAGAACACACAGAATGCTGTTCGTAAGGGAACCACCGGAAAAGATTGAACAAGTTGGGACTTCTTTAGAAAAGCCTAAGTGGAGATTTGTTAGAGGCCTTCAAAATAAAGAATGGGTTACACAAGATTATGTGGAGAGACTGTTTCCATTTATCGGAGAATGTAAAAATAGGCACTGTAAATACAAGATAGTTCTTAATAAATCCAAGAGTGGAGTAAGGAGATACTTCTTTGCCTAGAGAATGGTTCAAATGAGGCACGCACTAAACTATGAAGTGATTGAGGTAAACAGCTTAGAAGTTTGCAAGAGAAAACTAGATAAGAAGATGAGAGAAAAGGGAATAAAAAGATATGCTGAACGGTTAAAAAGGAAAAGATAGAATGATAGAAGACATACGTGGAATATAAACAGCAGCATAGACAAGTCAAGCTGAAAGATATGTTTCTGTGATGGATATTCTATGTAAGCTTATGAAAAATTAATGTGGTCTCACTGAGGGGAAGAGGGAGAACAATAGACACCTTTTATTAAGTATTATTTCAGAATATTAGAAAACATCACCTGTGTACTCTGTTGCAGAAGCCACTGAGGAAGTTGTTGAGTCATTCTCCCAGTCTTTCTCACCATTGCGATTGACAGAACAACTTGGTGACATAAATCCATCAACTGATTCTGTCCTGTGCATTTAAACAAAATTGTGAAATGAAAGATCCTCAATTAATTCAGAATATTTTGATATAATAATTAAATTCACCATATTATAATTTGTAATTGGCAAACTAATTATTGCAAGAAAAATTCCTTTATTTTGGACATCTTATTCCTCATTATAATATAAAGATGTGCATTTGTTCAGCACCTTTCACAATGTCAGAATATCTAGAATGTCTTTATAGCAAGTAATGCATTTTTGTTGAAGTCACTGTTTGAACACAAGAAACATAGCAGGCAATTTCACACTGCAAACACTTAGAAACATTACAAAATAATGAGCAGATAATGGATTTTACCAATGTGACTCATGAGATAAATATTGGTTCAGACATCTAGGATAGCTCCCATTCAAAAAATGATCATGTAATTATTTATGTCCAGATGGAAATGTAAACCGGAAGTCAGTTTAATGTTCCATCTGAAGGACGGTATCGCTAACAGTGCAGCTCTTCTCCGGTCAGCCTGGACTTTTGCGTTCAACTCTCTGGAGTCAAAGTTAAATCCACAACCATTTGACCCAGAAACAAGTGTGCTACTGAGGGACAGTTGACACAGTGTTGCTTTGGATCATTTGAAACAATGGGCTGGACTTCACATCCAACAAGCAACACCTTGGGCAGATGCATATGTTGTGCGTACTTCTGCTCCTGCCCAATCCCATGGACCTGCAATAAATTAAAGTGTACCGGAATGTCAATTACCTGAGAAGAAACCCTCCTGTCCTCAAACTGAAGGAGGAAATTCCACCGTCGGTGCTGCCAGTCAATCAGATGGATGGGAGCTCTCTGATCCCAGAAATGCTACCGACAATGGTGATGATTGCAGGTACTGCAACCAGACCCTGATAATATCCGTTGACAGAGCTGAATGCAGAGTAATGTGGGGAGTACCGGGATATTGCTGTGGCCAGTTGTCAGGCCTTGGTGAGGGGAATGAGGAAGGACTGGGAGCCATGGAAGATAGGCCAGTGATGGAGGGGGGAGTGTGGAGTATCTGCAGCTTGCGATGGTAGCCTCCATTTGAAACAGGGATGCCACAGAAGAGTCACCCTCTTTGCCTTTCCTGCCTGTTCCCCAAGCAATGTTACCCGGCAGGTTTCCAACCCATTGAGGACCTTAGCCTGAACTTTGCGCAACAGTGGTGGAGGCATGAAATGACCTTTTAAGTGGCCACCATTGGCAAAAGGGTGGGTGGGATTCAAGACCATCTTTCAAACTCTGAATATGACTAAATAGTAACAAGTCAGCATAGAATTAACATTTGGAAGTGTGAGATCATATTTATTGTATGTTCATCCTAAATATATGAAAGTTTGCCTTCTCCTCAGGGATTGTGTCGAGATTTCAATACAATGCTGTAACTCAAGGCTTTAGATTTGTCCAGGTACAACCTCCCCTTTGCTGAAGAGCATTTTGCATCTCTATAGCATGTTTAACATGTTAAAACATCTCAAGGTGCATTACAGAACTGTTACCAAATAAAATTTGATGCAAAGATAAATTAAGGAGATGTACAGGGTGACCAAACATTTGGTCGTAGACAGCAACCTAAATTCAACAGAATTATTTAAAACTACTCCCTATATATCATATGGAAAAACAGTGAACAACAATAAAGAATTTAGATATCAGGTGTGATTATTACTACCTGGGAGTTTTTCTTCCTGAATGTACACTGACAGCATCTGCCGTGTTCAATGATGCCAAAGATAAACAGGACACTGAAAAACAGCAGAAGTAAAACTGTTAAGTCAAAGGATTTACTTCTTCAGACATATGTTCTCTGGTTTCCGTAGTAGAACAGTCAGCTACTGATAACAGAAAGACAGGTTAACATTTTGACCGAGAAACCCACCATCAGAGTCTTCTCTCTTTCAAATGCTGTCAGATGTTGTTTATTTCACATACTTAAAGTCTCCAGCATTTGCAATTTTTTGTTTGCATCTCTGATATTTTCCCAAATTGGGAGGTTTCATCCAGTAACAGAAAATTTAAATAACCTAGACTACATTTAATATATAAGGGATCCTCAAAATTATCTGCAAAAGACTGTAGTCTCTCCAAATGAACATCATCTTCAAAACAGAATGATTTTGATTACCTGCTGATGACCTGACATTTGGGTTTGATCCATCTTCTCGGAAAGACTTTGGACGAGCCTTTTTCAGTTTCAGACTGGTGGGACGAGGCTTTATCACACTATCCATGTCTTTCATTAGTTTCAGTTGTTTTTTTCTTAGGTATTCCTGTTTAATGAATTCTCTGCGCGATCGTTCATCTTCTTTCTTTTGTCGCTCTTCTTCAGCTTTGAGTCTGCGGGAAATTCAAGAAAAGAATCTTGCATTTACACCAAGGCCTCAGCAACCGGGGACATCACAAAGTGTTTCACAGTCACTTTTGAAGTCCGGCCACTTTGTAATATAGGAAAACACAGCAGCCAATTTGTACACTGCAATGAGATCAAGTTAAGGCAATCTGTTTTCTTTTGAAGTCATATTGGTTTGAGGGTTAAATATTGGCCAGTACGCCAGGAAAACACACTGTCCTTAGAATAGTTACATCTGCCGAAGGTGGCAGTTATGACTCCAGTTGGAGACTCATTCAACATTGCAGCAATCCTTGACAATTCCACAAAATTGTCAGTCAAAATTATATGAAACCTTGTGTAGGATTTGAGCCTTCTGACTCAGTTGAGTGTGTTAACAGTGAGCCAAGGCACAGACATCATGGTACTTCAATAACAAATCAACATTCTTTTAAATGGTTCAGTTTGCTACAAGCAAGCTCATTGTATTGAAAGAATGAAAGACTTATATTTATATTGTGTCGATATATTGCAATTCATGCCCACCAACTCATCCGAAGTGTTTTACAGCCCTGAAGCAGTTTTGAAATGTGATCACATTTGTAATGTAGGGAGCAACTATTTACTGATGACGAGACTGTTGCGCTGAATGTACCTTCTCAGAAAGACTTTGAATAAGGTTTTTTGAAAATCAGACTGATTTTGAGATTTGGTTGACCATTCAGGATGTGCTTTTAGGCTGGTCCACTGTTGTACAGTAAAATAATGAAAATAGATCCCCCTTGATCCGGGCTGCTCTGGACCCAGTACCTGAAGTCCTGCATTGCTGGCACAAGCTATAAATTTCTGCTATCAGTTAGTACTGGCAAGGTCTGAAAGCTGGTATAAAGATTCCAAGGAAAATGGACTCTAAAGGGACAAATTTAATATATGATACCACTGTTGAGTAAGTTCTCAACTGGCAACAAGTATCACAAGTTACCCTTTCTGAGTTATTCCAAAATCAGAATATTATCCTGTTTGCTACTGGTCACAGAATTGTTTACAGTTTAAATAAAGTATTTGCTGTGTTTATATTCAGTTTTGAATAAATGCATATCTGATTAACAAGGTTCAAGATGAAGTCAAGCATTATTTTGAATAATGATCTATTCCAACAATGGTGCTTGTTCTGTAAAAGACATTCATGTTAGTATTATCAGAAGCTGCAGATTCACACCCACCTTGATGAGATGTAACTCTATAGACACGAAGGTTCAAGTTAGCTTTTGATAGATTCATGTCTTAATATCTATTATAGGTAACTGTAAAGCAGCAAAAATGTTCAGAAAAAGCTATTTCTGGCCATGCAGTACCTGGCTTCTTCCTTCTTCTCTTCCATCTCTGCTTCCAGTTGCTGTCGTCTCATCTGTTTCTCCTTCTCCCTCCTCATACGTTTTTCCAAGAGGGCCGCACGTTTCATAGCAATTTCTTCAGCTTTCTGATCATCCTTGAAAAACCAGATCAAATTAGGAATTGACAATCTAAATAAAATGTAAACCGAAAACAGTTCATGTACACATAATTTGAAACTGTAAGGAATCGCACTGAAAGAAGACATCTACAAAAAGTACAACTGATCAGTTATCTCAATCCTTAATACTAATCTCAATTTCTACACAAATCTAGAAAGAGAGAAATTAAGAGTTGCGAATGGAGAATGGCCATTCACTGGCTTATTATCCCCATCAACATGATTTAGTTACAAACCTGGAGAAATGTGCAGAGAAAAATCAGACAAAGAGTTAATAAACAACTTTACAAAAAGGCTTCAAGTCTTCAAAGAATCACTAACATTATGCCAGAATATTGTAATCTCGTGTTACATAACTCAAGAGGGCATTTGTAATGCTCCTTTCGTTCTAATTTAAGTTTTTGTCATTTTCACTCAAGAAAGAAATGCTTCTTGTTTGCAGTCTTCTGGACATCGGAGTTCTGAGGAAGGGTCACCGGACCCGAAACGTTAACCCTGTTTTCTCCTCCACAGATGCTGCCAGACCTGCTGAGCTTTTCCAGCAACTTTGTTTTTGTTCCTGATTTACAGCATCTGCAGTTCTTTTGGTTTTCATTTAGTATTTAACTCACTGCCACATCTCTTCTGGGCATGCCCACCTTGAAGAAGTTCTGCTCCTCTCTCCGATGGGATTTCCATTCCAATCTCTCTTCTTGCCCACCGACATTAATTTCATTGTCACTCCTGGTGTTTGACCAAGTATTTGCTAAAACTCGTTTCCACAGCCACATCACATTCCTCAGTGACTGCCTCCAGCTCAGACTCAACCCACGTGGATTCCAACTGAAGTTTCATCCCTCATGTTTTGAATCCTCCCAGGATCACATATCTCCGTGATGTTCAACGTTCCACGGACAGCTGCTCTTGCCGCATCCTGAGACCCACACTCAGTGCCATGCGGCGCCACATGCACACTCTCAACATTTCTCTCCAACAGCATCACAACGTGCTGGCTCAGGGCTGCACCACTCTGCAGTTGTGCTAAAAAGAAACTTTTTAATTTTCCTTTCAGGCATCAAGGCCCACAAGATGCAGCAACTGAAAAATACCCATGGCCCTCTGGAACCTTTATCTCCTCTCTTTCCCTCGGACTCTATCCCCTCCCTCAAACCCCCCACCTCCTGTCGGATATTCACCATCCCTCCTAACCTTCCGCTCTCCGATGCTGAATGCTCTGCACTCAGCAAAGGCCTCAGCTTTATCCCTCTGCGTCCCCACCTTAACGAATTTCGGGCACGACATGACGCTGAACTGTTCTTCCGCCGTCTTTGCCTCCTCTCCCCGTCCCACAGACTCCTTTGCCCAACTCCAACACTCTCCCTCCACCTGGACCCCTCCCTCCGGCCTTTTACCTGCACTCAATCTTTTCATTGAGAACTGTCAATGTGACATTAGTCGCCTCAATTTCACTGCCCCCTCAACAAATCCAACCTCCGTGCACTCAGATCTAACCCTAACTTTGTCATCAAGCCTGCCGATAAGGGTGGTGCTGTTGTTGTCTGGTGTACTGACCTCTACCTTGCAGAGGCTGAGTGCCAGCTCTCAGATACCTCCTCCTACCTTCCCCTGGACCATGACCCCACCATGGCACATCAGGCCATTGTATCCACTACAGTTACGGATCTCATTTCATCCGGTGATCTCCCCCTATCCGCTTCCAAGCTAATAGTCCCCCAACTCCGCACAGCTTGTTTCTACCTCCTGCCAAAAATCGACAAACAGGACTGTCCAGGTAGACCCATTGTTTCAGCCTGCTCATGCCCCACAGAACTCATCTCTTCCTACCTTGACTCAGTCTTCTCCCCACTGGTCCAATCCCTACTCACATACATCCATGATTCATCTGACACCTTACGCCGGTTTCAAAGCTTCCAGTTTACCGGCTCCAGCCACCTCCTCTTTACCATGGATGTGCAATCCCTTTACACATCCATTCTCCACCAGGAGGGTCTTAGGGCTCTCCGCTTCTTCCTGGGGCAAGGACCTGAACCATCCCCACCCACCACCACCCTCCTCCGCTTGGCTGAGCTTGTCCTCACCCTCAACAACTTCTCTTTCAACTCCTCTCATTTTCTTCTCCAATACATCGATGATATCATCGGTGCTGCTTCCCTCTCGTCTGGAATTGGAAAACTTCATCAATTTCGCCTCCAATTTCCACCCTGCCCTCACTTTCACCTGGTCTATCTCTGACTCCTCCCTTCCCTTCCTCAACATTTCTGTTTCCATTTCTGGGATAGACTGGCCACCAATATCCATTACAAACCCACCGACTCCCACAGCTATCTGGACTATACATCCTCACACCCCACTTCCTGTACAGACTCCATCCCATTCTCTCAGTTCCTCCGTCTGTCACCTATGTTCAGAAGAGGCCAACTTCGACAAGGGAGCCTCCGAAATGTCCACCTTCTTCCTCAACCGAGGATTTCCCAGCTCCATTGTCAAAAGGGCCCTCAATCGGGTCCAACTCATCTCCCGCACTTCTGCCCTCACCCCTTCTCTTACCTCCCCCAACAGCGATAGGGTTCCCCTTATCCTCATCTACCATCCCACCAGCATCCACATCCAGAAGATTATCAGACGCCATTTCTGCCACCTCCAGCAAGATGCCACCACTAGACACATATTCCCCTCCCCTCCCTTGTCCGCCTTCCGCAGGGACCGTTCCCTCTGGGAAACCCTGGTCCACACTTCCTTCACCCCCAACACCTCCCCACAGCCCTACGGCACCTTCCCCTGTAACCGGCGAAGGTGCGACACCTGCCCATTTACCTCCTCCCTCCTCAGTATCCAAGGGCCCAAACACTTCACCTGCACTTCCAAGAATCTAGTCTACTGCATTCGCTGCTCACAATGTGGTCTCCACTACATTGGGGAAACGAAGCGTAGACTTAGTGACCGCTTCGCAGAACATCTATGTTCTGCTCGCAAAAAAGACCCTGAACTACCTGTTGCCTGCCACTTCAATGCACCACCTTGCTCCCTGGCCAACATCTGTGTCTCTGGCTTGCTACAGTGTTCCAGCGAAGCCCAACGCAAGCTGGAGGAACAACACCTCATTTTCCACTTGGGGACCCTACAGCCCACCGGACTCAATACTGAGTTCAATAATTTTAGGGCCTAAACTCTCCCATGTCCCAGCCCCCCACCCCACACCCCACACACCAGGTCTTGTTACCACATAGCCTGCCACCACACAACCGCTGTTGTTCGTCACTAACAGTCCCCATTCACAACTATTCACCCTCCCAGCCTGATCATTAGCAACTCCTTTGTCTGTCCAACTGTCTTTCTCTCTCTTTGTGCTCTATCCTATCGTCTACTCCCGACCCCATCCACCTCCCTATTTTCTGTATATAAACTGACGTTTTCCCAGCCACCATCAGTTCTGAGGAAGGGTCACCGGACCTGAAACGTTAACTGTTTTCTCCTCCACAGATGCTGCCAGACCTGCCGAGCTTTTCCAGCAACTTTGATTTTGTTCTTGATTTACAGCATCCGCAGTTCTTTTCGTTTTTACTATTTGTACCAAGTTTGGAAAATCCCGTATGCAATCTGCTCAGTTGCAAAACTGGTCACCACGACCATGCCCAGGGCAATCAAAGAAATTCAAAGGTTCAACAAATTCTTCCCCACAAGATGTAGCATAGATAGGTACCAATGACACCAGAGTCCTTGCATGGTTTAGGACCTTCAATGATTAAATCTATACATGCTTTAGTGCCCATAATATGGAAACAGTGTAGAAGTTTATAATTATAAGATCAATTTAGTACGATAGCCTGTCTTTTAACAATCTGGTCACTACTTCCTAGTGATCTGTTGACTTTGTTACCACCTATTTGTTAATTGTTTCCATGCTTCTAACCTTGATTACTTATGAAAGTTTTTATGCAAGTCACACTGTAATTCAGCTTCTGGCTATGAATGTGTTTCTTGACTAAAACACCATTATTAATAATGTGGTTATGTAGGTGCAAGAAATTTAAAATTTAGAGGACAAAATTCATGTCAAAAAAACAAGATTAACAACACTCATTGTAATTTTTGCACACGGTTGTAATATAAACATACTGTCAGAAATGCAGCTCTCTGTTAGTCTCAGAAAAAATGGGATTACACAGCTGTCTGCGTCACAATTGAACATGTTGAATGGTTTGCAGTTACTGTGCTTCTGTGGTGCTTACAAACTAAACTCATCACAACAAGTCATGTTACTTCAAGTTCAAGTACCCCTAAAATGAGATCATAGGCATCAACTGTTCACAGTCAACCTCCCCTCTGCTGAGAATCAATGGTTACAAGCATGGAGTTTCACTCCTTTAGGATTAATTGATTCATTTAATTCAAAAATAAAATTATTTTAAAAATATTCCTTTAATTTCCTCTTTGTTTCCAAACTTCTTTCTGTCTCTTCCCCATTCTGTGGTAAAATTAACAATGAATTTATACAATCTTATCTGCATATCCTTCTCATTCCTAGCTGTTCCTTTCACAATCCAATTTGGTTAAGGAGACTCAGTTATTTTTCATGTTCATTCGGATCTCAAATGTCCTCCAGAACCTGCCATGCCAGTTCCTGTTTAGATGTGTAGCACAAATGATGATGGAGATTGATGGGAAAGGGCGATGTGAAAATGAGCACTTCAAGTATTTGTTAAGGTGAAGGCTTTCATTATAAATGCCAAGATTTAATTATGTTAAGTAGAAATAAATACTCTCATACTATCATAACCGAGTTAATTATCTTCCTCTGTGGACGTCTGGATAGCGAGTGAAGAGCCAATGCAACTTGCATATCCCTGCAAAGATTGACTGGAATTTCAATTACCTCAGAATTATTAGGACAGAAGGAGAACACAAGAGATGGAGAAGCAAAGAGGGGAGTAAATCAGAAGCAATTGCATCACAAGCAAATGAGACCATATTTTCTGAGTTCCCATCAGTAATGTTAAGAAGATACAGAGGGATATATTTACATATCTATTGCTATATTGAATTCCTTGCAAAATTTATTCAACATATTAGACTTCCACTAAGGACATTTGATCGTGCTGAATTTGTGCTCTTCCCGAGAGCCATTTTATAGAAACCAAGTGCTTTGAGGCAGCTTAAGAATCATTACATGGATATTCTATTTCCCATAAAGTAATCAGGAGATTGCAAAGCCTAAAAGGTTTTTTTTAAAATGTAGATTTGACACCTTCCATGGAATGCCTACCTTGGAACATGATAAAGCTGATGAAACATTTTTAACATACAGTCATTGTTGTATTGTCGCAATGTATCAGCTAATTTCCAAAAAGCAGGATCCTAGAAACTGCAATGCTTTATTTGTTGGTTAACTGATGAATTGCCAAGACACCAGGAGAACTCCCCTACCTGTTGAATGGTCCTACAGGATTTTTCCTTTAAATACAGCACTTCTCAATAGATTCCTCAATACTACAGCACAGACTAGATTAGCGGTTCAATAACGCATGTTGCAGGCTTGCCCACAATTTTACAGGCTATGGTTGAAGCATAGATGACCCCTCCTCCTCTCAGAGAAGCCATTAAGTTGTCAATTAATGCCCATTTTGAGAGCCTTTTCCCATCCAGCTTCAACTCCGATCACTAATCCAAGGCTGACACCTATGCTAGTACACTTTATTGACAAGAATACGGTGAGAAACATTATGCAATTTTACAGCACTGCTTCAATAAAACTAGAAATCTATATCAACATTCTTGCATCTGCCTGTTTATTTTGCAGTAAATAGAAAAATCTTATTCTACAATTCCAGAAAGGAAACAAAAAGCCACTTACTTTAAAGAAAAATCCACAACACAACTTTTGTTCTTCAAACTGCTCCTTTTCAGTATCACCATCATTTGCCTCATCCATTTCCACTTCCTCCTCTGAAAGCTTTAGGTCTGAAAGGGAAACCTCAATTAAGCTTGCCTTTGTGCTTTGGTCAACAGGATATTTCTTTTTAACAGGACTCTCCAGAAGAGAGGCAGACTTTTCTGTGGACGCTGTGGGCAATGGTGAATCTTGCGGTTCAACAGGCGGCACATGGTCCACTTTCTCCATTTCCAAGGGCTTTTCATTTATCTGTTTATTCTCCTCCATCTCAGGCTCTATTTCCTCATGAGTTAATTTCACATACCCTCCTTTTGAGGAATCATCAGGTGTATCATCTTCAAGAAAAAGAAATGATTTGGTCTGGAACTGGCTGGGAGAGAACTTTCTAAGATGAGGAAGGCTATCAACAGAACGTGGAGCGGTGAGGACACGGTTTAATGGTGTTATCTTCAATTCATTTGGCCTTGATTTTGAGTTTTTAACATGAGAATAGGAGGACCTTCTGTGTGAAGTCTGAGGAGATCGTTGTGTAGAGCGAGGTGATTCACCAGAAGAGGATAGGGAAGGGGATAATGACCCTGTTGATCTTGAAGATGATCGAACTTCTCGGATTTGCTTTTGTGGTGAAGGTTGAGGAGGAGAGATTACCCATGTTTGTTGTTGTTCCCTCATTTGCATTATTAATTCCTGCTGGTTTGCCAAGCGTTGCATCTCCTGTTGTAGCGCATGCAAAGCTGTATTCATTTTTTCAATTAATCGGTTGTACTCAATGACATCAACATCTCCTAAAACCTCGTCAGCAGTGTTACTTAAATTCCAGGAAACTTGTTTTTCTGATTGGGCTGCAGACGTGGGGGATTGAAGGCCCCGTTTACCACTATCTGTTGCGTTACCATTAATTGCAATCATCTCAGGTGTTAATTCATCGTTTTCCTCAATGCTGCCTGTTTGCAACAATTTTCTCTCACGTATCAATCTATCTCCATGATCACCACCAGGTTCCTCATTTAACAGAGAGCTCCCATCACCTTTCTTTTTCACAACATTCAAAAATGCTGTCCTACCCATTTTTTGTCTTTGCTTTGTAAAAGCAGCTTCAACTCTCTTCTTCTGTGCTTCAATGGCTCGTCGCTTTTCTTCTAATTTCATTTTAAGCTGAATCACTTCAGATGCCAACAACTGAGCAGGATCTCTGATTTGTCTGCTCGGACTCAGCTCTGGTATCCGACTATTAGAAACCATGCCTGGAGTGTTAAGCTCTGAACTTTCTGGGCTAGTCTTTTGGGAACTACTACTGCTCAACCTAGCATCCGAGACATTCAGCTTTTTGAATTTTTGTTCAGCAAAACTGGTCATTTTAATTGCAGAACCCGGAGAGATGCTATTTCCAGCCTGCAATACAGCATTCAATGAGTTTGAGCCTGGAGTCAACATATCACTATGATCATCACATCTTAGATCAGAGTCTTGAGGTTTAGAAGAGTCTTCCATATCAGAATCCATACTCACTGTGTAATCTCTAAAGGAAAAGTCTTCATCTATTGTTTCTTGAATATCTTCAGATGGGACATGGATCCCTGTGTCTACCTCAGTATTATCAGTCAAAGGGCTTGTTGCACATTTAAGCTCTGCAATGGAATCTAGGCTGCTTGTTTGATTCATTTTGGGCTTTACGGGGATGTCACTGGCATTGTTAACATGCAGGAAAAAACCATCAGCTACTTGATCAGATTGAAGATCTGGGCAGAGTTTGTCTACATCATGAATTATCTGTAGAGCTTCTTCAATACTTGGTGGGATTTCTAAACTAGTTTCCTTTGGCCCATTTGACACTATACCTCGCATGGATTGTTTCCTCAGAGTATCATTTGCTGAACCAGACCTCCTTGTGGAACCTTTAGCTGGTTTCTCATGACTGTGATTAGAAAGAGGTTCTTCTTCTATTCCATTGCTTTGTCCATTTATTGGCTGTAAGGATTCACTTCTCACTAAATGTTTGGGAGTATTGTTGATGTTTGAAATCAAACTGTCATTACTAATTGACCTAATTATTGTCCGGTTATTTGTAGTGGATGCATCAATGTTGTTGTCTGAATCGAAGGGAATATTGAAAGAAACAGCTTGGGGAAAGGCTCTGTTTAAAGAAAAACAAAACGGTATGAGCAACAGATTTATAAGTTTCTATTTAATTAAAATAAATTCCTGAGAAAAATATTGGCATCAGAAATGGATTCAATAGTAACAGCAGGAATGAGCCTTAAAAATGGATTGTACAGTTACACTCACATTTGAATTTTAATTCAAGCTGTAAAGGTTTTAAAATGGTATCACCAACCTTGGTTTCTTTTCGGGCCAGGTTCCTGCATATCCCTCTACATAAGACATTGACGTGGATCGACGCATTCCTAACAGAACAATTGTGACAGATTTAGACACAAGCAGTGTAAAGTTGTTTTCTTTTAAGGAAAGTAAAACAATTTCTATTTCTTCAAGTTAACAGTTCTAAATGTTATGTTTCCAAGTTTTATGGAAAATTCAGAATTTCAAATTGTTTATAAATCAGAAGAGTGGAACTCCAGATGCATTGTAAATTGTAGTTCATTCTTGCCCACAATAAAGAAAGTGTAATAATTTAAAATGCCTTTTCATTTGCTCTTGCTACCAATATTATATGAGATCAGGTGATCTGATCTCAGGTGTCTGTTAATGTGACACCACAGGTATGACTTGGCTTGGAGCAGTTATCAGATAGTTATTATGGCAGACAGCCTGGTTGGAGTTTATTTTTCCAGAGTCCAAACAGCTGAAGATAGTTAATGTCCCTTCTTCCACCCAGCTCAGCTTAACTTGGCACAAAGAAAGATCTTTTTGTTTTCCAGTTCCCCACAGTTCTGCCTTGGGCTCCCCAATATCTCCTGTTGGAAGTTTTCGTCTTCGAGCTGACTTCCCTTTATTAAGGATCTCTTTTTTGATCTGTTTCTCTACCAAGCCCCCAGAACATTGTTGCTGCCAACTCTGGTTTCATGCAGCTTCCCTCATCATTTCTGGTTATACCATCATCTGTGGCTGAGCGTTCCTCCTTAAACCCCTCTGTCTCTCCACTTTCTTCCAACAAGCCACAGAAACCAGAGACTGTACATTACAGAAATAAATCAAATGGACTTGAGCAGTTCAAGGCAGCAATTCACCACTACATTTTCAATGTAGTGAAACTAGAGATGGACTATAAAAACTGGCCTAGCCTGCATTGCCCACATCCCATGAGTGAATACAAACAAAAGACATTCGTTCAGTGACTTGTATCTACTCTTTGAAAAAGTTATAAGTTATAAATTAGTCCCAGCCCTGGCTGTCTATATAACTGAAGCTCCTCATCCGTGGCATCATTGAACAAATCTCTTCTGCACCCTCTCAAAGGCTTTGTCATCCTTCCTAGATGTCCAGAAATGAACATAATTTTCCAGTTGAGACTCCGTCAGCAATTTGAAGAAGGTTCGGCATAAATTTATTGCTTTTGTACTCTATTCCTTTGAAAAATGTACTTCTCTCTTCTTATCCAGCAATCTTCAAAGATATTTTAAAAATATACTGTCCTGCGTGTCTGTACTTGAACTCTCCTTAACATTGTATTGTTTAGCTTATATACATAATTTAGCTTATACACAGTCAACAGAATCCACCTCTCTGATCACATTTGGTCATCCCTGCTTGTATCTTTCCATTTTTGGTCTGAAGCACCTCTATTCTAAAGGCATATGAACGTATACAATTGTGTGGTTTAATTTCATACTTGGACCTTTATGAACGCGTGTAAACAGTAGTTAAAAAAATGGAATGTGAAGGGTGCTAGAAATCAAAAGTAAAAAAATTATGCTTCATTTGGATAGAACTTGAAAATGGAATACAGCATTCAGCTTTGGGTACTGATCCACAGGCATGAGTCAGTACGGTGCCAGAACATTAATGCAGAATGTTACCACGGCTTAAATTAAATGAGGACTGTATATATCAAACTGGCTTGTATTTCCTTGAATTTATAATGGTTAATAGCTGATCTGAATCGAATTAAATGCTTAATAGATTTGATAGGTTAACGTTAACAGAGAAACTATTATTTCCTTGGATGGAAAATCCAGAACTAGAGATCATAATGTCAAATAAGATCCAGCAATTTATAAGGGGAATCAGGAAGTATTGGAAATTTAGGGTTAACTTCTTCAAAAGACCACAGGTGCTGAGTGAATTAAAATGTTCAAAGACTGTGAGGTAAGGGAATCAGGGATTATACAGCAAAAAGCATGTGAATGGAATCGACTTCAGCTTTCTGTAATGCAACAGTGGATCAGACTCCAGGAACTGAGCGGCTTTCGCCTATTCCTATAACCAAGACTGACAAAATGTATGAAGATATGATTCAAACTATATGTTTGGCACAGGTTACATCAAGTGTTGTCAGACACCTTCATAAATTCAATGATTGCTAGTGCTTTACAAAGGCTTAAAGATACATGGATTACATCCTTCAAGTTGAGGAATTTCAGGGAAGCATGCAAAAAAACAAAGGAACTTCAACTGTGCTGGCTATCCTTAAAACGGATGTGATTTTTCAAAAATTTTAACACAATTTACTGTCTTGTCTGTTAAAAATGGTACAAATCACACAGTGCTTATTCATCATTTTCATTCAAGATTTGAAATACCAAACCTCAAAGTTGGTTTTGCATCTATAACAAAAGTATGGTAACGCTGTGTACTAAAAATACTATTGATGATCATTGCATTGACTGGACATTAAAGGGTGGAGGACAGGGTGGTGTTGACGGTGAAGGATAAAGAAAATTATTGGAGGGTAAATGGAAATTGATATGTTGTTTGCGATAGGACATAGAAGAATGACATATATAGCAGACAAGTTGAATGATAATATAAAGAGAATGAAGATACCAGTAAAAGTAAATAATAACAATGATTAAAAGGATGGTGTGTGAAATAAGGAAAGTAAGCTAGAGACATGTAGTAAAAATATCAATCTGTAAGATAGCAGTTGTGATATACTTAACATAATTATGTCGAAGGCTAGATGGGTGGATATAACGAGTTATATTTATTTTTTATTAGCAATAATAGATTATTGAGGGATCAGTCATGGGAAGAAAAACGTTAATATTCAGGAGCCATTCCATTTGTTGTGTCCAATGCTGTTATTTATCACTACGATTATGTTTAATTTGGTTACACAAAACTCCAATTCTCAATGGGTGAGAGGTGGACCAACTTCTATTTATTTCTCAAAAAATAGAAAGACACTGTAGTCCTACTGGGCCATAGGGCTGCTCTCTCATTACAGAGAGATGACTGGTGGTTGTTTAACTGGAGGGTCGCCATTTCTCAGGCAAGGGGAGAGGTTAGAAAGAGTCAGTCATGCTAACCACAACTGGTACAGGAATTGAACCCAATGCTATTGGCAACGCAATGCATTGCAAAGCAGCCATCCAGCCAACTGAGCTTACCCTGTCCCACAAGTAGGCTGTTAAAAAGTCCATAAATTTTCAGTTCTATTTTGACTAAGTCGAAAGACAAAAGAAAGTTTAAACAGCAGAACAGTGGCAATCGAGCAATTCTGAAAAATGCCTGTGGGGTATAAAAGGTCAAGTGCCAACAAAGAATTTGGATGAGTTGGTTTAACATTTCTTTCGTAAGACTTAAAAAGTCTTAAGTGGTATAAAGCACCACAGCAGGTATTGAAAGAAAGAAGAGGGGAGTAGGTAAGTCCATGTTGGGATATGGAGTAGCAGAAAAGACAGCAAGGGAGTGTCAGGAGATTGACAGAGTTCAGTTGGTATTAGTGCATGAAGAGGGATAGAAAAAGGAGACACAGCAATGCCTCTAGTGGTGGGAAGACTGTCCTGTGGCAGTAATAAACATTTAGAGTGGGATAAGTATTAAGATCGATTCTACTATTTAAACATGACCAACAGAAGTAAGGATTACAGACAGAAAATGTACATCATAAAATAATGTTTTTAATAAAAGATGGATGTAAACACCTCATGATAATACAGATTAGATGAAATGGCTTCTCCACAGTTTGTTTATTTAGCTTATGACTCTGATTTAGTTTATTCAGATTGGTTTGCATTTATTACAAATGGAATAGAAGTAGTGAAGTTTACTGAAACTGGACAAGGCATTAGTGAGACTGCACCTGGGGTACTGCATACCATTTTGGTCCCCTTACTAGGGGTGGCACAGCGGCTCAGTGGTTAGCCCTGTTGCCTCACAGTGCCAGGGACCCAGGTTTGATTCCAGCCTCGGGTGACTGTCTGGTGGAGTTTCCACATTCTCCTTGGGTCTGCATGGGTTTCCTCTGGGTTTCCTCCCACAGTCCAAAGATGTGTGGATTAGACGGATTGGCCATGCTAAATTGCCCATAGTGTGCAGGGATGGGCAGGTTAGATGGATTAGCCATGGGAAATACAGGGTTACAGGGACAAGGCAGGGGGCGAGTCAGGGTGGGATGCTTTTTGGAGAGTTGGTGTGGCCATGTTGGGCCAAACAGCCTGTTTCACACTGTAGGGATTCTATTATTCTAATCAAGGAATGTAGTTGCATTGGAGGAAGTTTAAGGGAGGTTCACTAGATTAATTCCAGAGATAAAGGACTTGTCGTTTGAACAGAAATTTAGGGAAGTTCTGGAGTTTAGAGAATGAGAGGAGATCTCATTGAGGTATTCAAGATGCTAAAGAGAATTGACTAAGTAAGTGTAGAAAGTAAAAAAAAGTAAATGTAAAAAATCTAGAACAATAAGCATAAGGTGTAGCAGATTTAAACCAGATGAGGAGAAATTACTTCTCTCAAAAGGTCGTGTATCTGTGGAATTCACTAACCCAAAGTGCGGTTGATGCTGGGACCCTGTGTAAATTTAAGGAGTAGACAGATTCTTAATTAGTAATGGGTTGAAGGGTTACAGAGAACGGGTATGAAAATGGAATCGAGACTGAGATGAGATCAGCCATGATCAAATTAAATGGCAGAACAGGCTCAAGGGACTGAATTGCCTACTCTTGCTTCTAGATTTTATGTTCTTACATTCTAATACTAATCTGCCAGACTTTATTAAAATTATACATGGGCCTCAGGAGCTTCCGTACGTTATTCCATCACTAAAATGGAAGAACACTGGAAATGCACAATCATAAGTCTTAAGATTACTGATAAGTTTGCATTAAAGGGTTTTATTTAAAAGCCAAACCTCACTGCTACTAATCTGATCACTGTTTCCAATGATCTAACCACATCACATTGATTGAAGTGCAGGATGTGAAATCAGGTTCACATGGTAACCAGGATTTGAGAAATCTTTTTAAATTCAAACTTTGTATCACAGAATAATAAAAGATACATTTATACCTGAGTCAGATGAATGGGGACGGTGCTGAGTATGTCGCAAGGGCAGGAGTGGCTGTGATGGTGAAAACGTTGGACTCACTTTGCTGAAAAGAAGGCATAAGTTGCATTAATAGAAAAAAAATCCAGCTTACTACTCATAGAAAACTCTTCACACTTCACATTTTGTAACATAAAACAGTAAATATTTTTCTGCAGTCTGTGAGCATAGCGTCCCACTAAAAGATGTGATGGACTGTAATTATTGAACGACAACCTGTCATATGTACCAATTCTGTAACTACTTCTTCACTAACCATTAGGAAGGAGTACAAAGCTGCTATTAATTCATTATCTGATTTTCTAATCTACCAACAGAAAACACTAAAGTGAGTAGCACAAGAATTAAAGGCTCTATAATGAGAGGCTTAATCATTATCTCTTCCTAAAAATCCTTGCATTCTTAAAAACAAGCATTTTCAGAATCATAGAGCACAGAAACAGGCCCTTTCGGCCCACCATGTCTATGTTGTTCAAGAAACGCCAAACTACACTGATCCCATTTACCTGCACTTGGTCCATGGCCTACAACGTTCTGGCATTTTAAATACTCATTAAGACACTTCTTAAATGTTGCAAGCGTACCTGCCTTCACAACCCTCTCAGGCCACACATTCCATATATCTATCACCCTCTGGGTAAATTTTCTTTTCTCAGATCTCCTCGAAACCATTGCTCCTCACCTTGAACAAAGGAACCTTCTTGAACAAAGAAACCACATTAGCTATCCTCCAGATATCTGGCACTTCACCTGTTGCCAGTGAAGTACTAAATATATTCGCAAAGGCCCCAGCAGTCTCTTCCCTTGCCTCCCATTAGCAGTCTGGGATACATCTCATCAGGCCCTGGGGATTTATGCACTTGTATCCCTGTTAAAACATCAAATACCTCCTCCTTATTAATCTTTACATGTTCTGGAACTACTTCATCCCAACCAAAATCCCCAGCTACAAAGTCTTTCTCTTCTGCGAATACAGATGTGAAGTATTCATTTAAGACCTTGATTGAAAGCAAGGCAGAGTCTAATTTGAAGATCAACTTGTTCAAAATGCTGCCTGTTGTTTTTATTTAATCAGGCTACATCATCTGAAAGATTCAATTCCCTCATACACCACTTGATATTGCCCTGCGTACACTTCAACTGACTTCAACACTTTCCAAACTAATTCAGGTCAATGCTGAAAAAACTCTATACATATAATTTTGAACTCATTTACTTTGCTTGAAATATGTTCTGAAATAAATCACCAAAAAGCCTACCCGCATCCAAAATCAGAGTTGGGAAAAGTATCCGTGAAACTTTTTCTGGTAGCATTTGAAATTGGGAAAGCAGCAGGGATATTCCTTATTGGATGGAGTGGTTCAGCTGTGGGTAAAGTCGGACATTTAATATTTTTAGAAATACAAAGCTATCATTTAATACCATGAGGAAGCATTAACACTGAATCAAATCATCAAGTGCAATTTACCACAAATTTTGATTTTAAGAAATCATGCAATGATATTAAAACATTTATTTCAAAAGTACAATATAACAATAATCACAGTATATTCAAAAATGTCATTTAATCCTTTGTATCATTGTCTGAAGTAACCTTAGCTTCCTCTGTTCTGCCAGCCAGACAGATTTAATTCAATTTTCCTCATTCCACAACATGTTTCTTCAGTAAAACTCTTAGCCCACTTTTTGCAGCTCCAGCTACCTTGCTTTAGCTGGGAAGGTGTCACTGTCTCGACAGAGAACTTCACCACAGCAAACACAAAGGCAACTCAATGATAGGTCAAATGTGATCTTCTAGTTGGGAGAAAGAAAGCCTCAACAGTGGACGACTTCTACACTACGCGGAAACTCCAAAAGCTTCAATGCTATACACAGTTAATCAACATCACAAACACTACATAACACATTCAGATTCAGATTTCAAGCATGTACCTTCAACTTGAGGCAGCAGTCTAGGCTGCACAAATGGGGGCTTCACCACTTCAAACCACCAGAACAACTCTGCCATAAATACTAGGTAGTTATTCTGCAAAGAAAGAATAAAACACAGTGAAGCATTTCTTCTGGAAAAACTTGTAATACAAAATGCATCATTATTTCACAATGAAATGTCTTTTTGGCTTGATGGCAATGCCCTATTCTGCCTATCATACAAATGAGTAATGTGGTATTGAATTGCAGTGCTGGTATAATGCCAGTATGTAGGCTGTCCATGCCAAAGACTGGCAGATTCTATCAAATAAAATATCCCTTTGGCTATGTGCAACAAGCAATGTACTGACAGTGGGCCTGTGCTTGCAAAACTCACAATGCAGTGTCTAACATTAGAAGTGATTCCGTGATTGCATAACATTTGCCAAATTATCCTGGGTATGCAAAAAGTTTTGCTGGCAGCCAATTTTGGATTGTCAGATGGGCTCGCAGTGTGGAGCCCTTGTACTGCAAGCAACATATATTAGTACATTGTGCCCTGCACTTTGCAGAGAGAAATTACATGTATATGCACTACGCCTGTTTCAAGCGAACAAAATAGATGTCAACCATTCATTCTTTCAATTCTCAGGGCAATGTCTTGCCCAAACTGGATCAACTAAACTGCCTGGTTTAAAATTTAAATGAAGTTTGACAAGTAACTCAGTCATCATTAATTGGAGCATTCTCCATGGTAATGCCTCAAAAATTCAGAGTATAGTTGCGAACCAACCACGCCCCTCCTCTTTTACAGTATAAATGATGGTTTCCCCTTACATGGTTTTCTTGTGAATTGTCCTAATAAGTACAAGATAAGCTTCAACAATATGTGCCTTTTTCAGCAATATTCAAGTGCAGTACTTCAAATGACTAACTGACGCATTATAATTCAAAGATATGAGAACAACTTTATATTATATATTTAAATCAATCCAAAGAACTTCACAAAAGCGAAATGGAAAATAGTAACATGAGAAGAATCAGAGATGACCAAATAGATTGTCAAAAACATACATTTTCCGACAGCCTTAAAAGGAGACAAGCAAAGATAGTGGTTGGAGTACAAGTCTGCCGCTGAAGATAGAGTGGAGTGGATAGGTAGATATGCTGATGTAAACAAAGTGGAAATGCAGCAGTGATAGGTAAATGCTAGTAGTTGGGACTGAAGGAGAATGTTAAGGTAGCAAGGAGCAAGTCATTTGGATGAAAAAAGCCGTTGGAAGTGAATGAGGTCAACAGGCATAATGGAATGAGGTTTGCTGAAGGTTCTGCTGAGCACAAAGTTCTGAAGAGCTAGATTATGTAGACTGGAATTAAAATTCAACAAGGAAAGCACAAGTAGTTGAGCTCCAATTAAGATAAAGTGTCATTAAAATGGACCTTGAAGGATGGAGAATGAAGCTGGATTAAATCAAACACTCTGGAGAAGTCAAGGAGAGATAATACAAAGTCACAAAAGATGCCATTGGAAAGCACTGCTGAGCAGGATAGAAATGTAACAAGAGCAATGTGAATAGGGAAGAACAGAAAATGAGTTGAATGGTGACAACTTATTCTAAGGACTTTGTGGCGAAATGAGACAAAATTTAATATCTTCGGTTATGAATAAATCGGTCAGGGACATTTCTCCTTTAGTAATAGAGACAAACAAATCACCTCTGAATATGACTAATACAACAAATTACAGATTGCTTTTGGTAGTAGTTACAGTTCAAGAAATGCTTGTACATGAATACCTCTATCAGGTTCGAAAAATTTTTCTTCATTGGGGTGAATAGTTGGCCTACTGTCTTCCCATATAAACCAATTGTTCCAAAATATGAACTCTTTCTTTAACATTACTATTTCTCCTATGCTTTTCTTTGTTTCAGCACAGGTTTTCTGAGAGTTAATTTTGTTTGCATATCGATCAGATAATCTGTGTGAATTTATAATCCAAGGCACAAAAGTTCATGCACAACACAGAATGCTCATCTCAATCAGAAACATTAGAACTCAGGAACACAATTCATGGTGAATTCAGTAAAAATCAAATGACTAATGTGATTGTCACATTATTGAAAATAGAGCAATAAATTTTATTATCAAAAACTGCAAATGATTTTGTCTGTCAAAAAGACACAACTAACTCAGATACATCAGTATTCCTGAGATATGAATGGTTAATCTGGCTCATTTTGTGTGCTGAGTAAGACTAGGAATAATAAAAGCAATTATAACCGACAAGAAAAAAAATCTTTTCAAAAAGCTTTGTAACTAGGTTTAATTACATTTGACTTTCAATACCATCATCAAACATTCCCAGTCAAGTATGGCATACCTCGAATTAAACCATTGCATCCTCCATTTTCTCTCAAAAGATCATTTCTGATTACACCATTTCCTAAACCACATATCCTTTTCATCTGGGGGACATTGTCGATAAATCAGTGGCTTTTTCACATAGAACAACATTTACCATTATATCGGTACCAGCATTTTGTTATAGCAAACTAAGTCTTAGCTCACTGCTTTGGTCTTCACCCCCAGACCTCCAAGCTTCCTTTATTTCAAATATTTATTTACCTTTTTCTTAAAAAGATGAAATGATGTCTCTGTCAACTACCGCGTGTGGTTAAGTATTTGCTGTTCTGAAAATTCCTTATGTATCGTGATGGAGGGCCCTTTCTGATTGTCCTATCATGCCTCACCTTGAATCTATACTCAACTCATTTGCAAGTGCCATTTTGGCATTCACTTTCTAAACATTGCAAGATGAACGGTAGGTTGAAGTAACATTCTTGTCCAAGTCTGGGTTTTTTCATATTTGTACAGTCATTTGATCAGTTTTAAAACGATCGGTGCAGTCATTAATTTATTTAAATTCCATCACCAGTAAGATATGATGTTGTAAGATATGTTTTATGAATTAGTTAAAACTTAACTGTAACAGTAACCTTGTGCAAACTTATGCCTTGGATGATGTTCATGTGTTACAAACACAATCTCATTCTATACCTTTGTAGTGGCTACATTTACAGGATATCATTCCAACTCTCAATAACTCCAGTAAATGTCAGACAACTAATTGTATGATTGTACAATTTAAAAGGACAGCAATAAATTATCAAACCATAATTTGCAGAACTACTTTCCTGAGACAACAGTTATTAATCTGGATTCTTTTTGCCATTGAATATGGGGAGGAATAACAAAGTTAATTCTAACATACAGACAGCGGGGGAACCTTTCTACGAAGTTTCATAACTAGATTTAATCAACTTCCTGTTTACTATTATGCATTACCATTAGACAATGTTTATCTTGGAAAACTGCAGTGACACCCTGCAAAGTGCCTCTATGGTTCATTAAAGATTATGATCTTATTGCCATTATGGAGACATGGTGAGAAGGGGTAAGTGAATTTTCTAAAGGACAGGCAGGAAGGAAAGAGTGCTGGGGTAGCTTTGTTAGTGAAAGATGAAATAATTGCAATATCAGGAGCTGACCTTGAATAGGGAGATGTGGGATCCATATGGGTAGAAGAAAGAAATAATAAGGGTAAGTTGACATTGGTGGGAGTAGCCCATTGGCCCCTAACAATAGTCATACTACAAGACAAGAGAATACATCAGAGGATAATTAGGGCATGTAAAAAAGGCAACACATTAATCAAGAGATTGGGCAAGTCAAATTGACAAAGGAAGAATTCCTACAGGATATTTGAGACAGTATCCAAAAACAATAGGTTCAGGCTGTTTTGGATCCGGCAATGCGTAATGCGGCAGATTTAATATCAGAATAAAAGATCCTCTCAGAAACACTGACCATAACATGGCAGATTTTGGTATTTAGTTTAAGATGGAGAAACTTGATTCAAAAACAAATGTGCTAAATTTAAATAAGGGTAATTACAAAGGAATGGAGCCAGAGTTAACTGGAATGGACTGAGAAAGGATTTCAATAGCAAAAATGGAGCAATGGGTGACATTTAAGAATACAGTTTATGGCTCACAAAAGTGTATCACAGTGGGAAAGGAGGATTTTAGAAAGGGGATAAGCCAACCATAGCAAACCAGAAAAGTTAAGGATAGGATCAAATTGATAGAATAAAACCATACAATACGGCAAAGATTAGTGGTAAGTCAGAGGATTGGGAAAGTTTTAAAAACCAACAAAAAAAGTAATAAAGAGGGAGAAAATAATCAATGAGACTTAACTTGCAAGTAATATCAAGATGGACAGCAAAAGCTTCTTTGAATTTTTAAAAGCAAAGATAGAGGCCTAAATGTACAGACTTCTTAGTGAATGAGGTTGGGAAAATAATAACAGGGAACCAGGAAATGACAGAAGAGTTGAACAAATACATTGCGTCAGTCTTCATGGTAGGACGCACCAGCAGAATTCCAAAAGTACTAAGTCAGAAAAGGGTAAAAATGGAAGGGAAAATAAATATAATCATTATCACGAGAGAAAAATTATTGAGGAGACTAATGGGGCTAAAAGCTGGCAAGTCCCTCGGATCTGATGTAATGCATAGAACAACATTAAAGGAAGTAGCTACAGATATAGAGGATGCACTGATCGTAATCTTCCTTAGATTCTGGAAAAAACCTAGAGGATTCAATAACTGCAAAGGTAACACCCCTATTCAGAAAGTGAAAGCAACAAACAGGTAACTGGAGGCTAGTTATTTTAATGTCTGCTATTGGGGAAATGTTGGAGTCTATTATAAAGGGTGTATTTACAGAGCACTTAGAAATTCATAACATAATCAAGTACAGCCAGCATGAAAGGAAAATTATGCCTTTATTTTATCCATTAAAATTTGTTCAAGATATACAAGCAGGATAGCTAAAGGGAAACTAGTAGATGTAATATATTTGGATTTTCTTAAGTAGCCTAATGTGCAGTTTCAAATGCTTAATAAGATAAAACCCCACAGTGTTGAGGGTAGTATATTAGAATGGACAGAGGATTAGCTTACTAAAAGAAGACAGAGTTGGGATAAGAGATGCATTTTCTGGATGACAACATGTAAATAGTGGAGTGCTTCAGGAATCAGTGCTGGGCCCA